CCCCAAAACCCCAAAACCCCAAAACCCCAAAACCCCTATAAATTCTATTATTATTGAATAATCAATCCATTTGCAAACTAATCAATGTACTGATCAAGCAAGGAGTCTCGGAGGTTTCAGAATTTAATACTCTCAGTCATTAAGACCTCTTCATCATAGGAGTACTCTGAAGAATTTTGGTCCACCATTGTCTCTCTATAAGCGAATGAGCATTATAAGCAATAGGCCATATTTCAAGTTATAGGCATGACACAAAAATGATTCATGGGCTTTAATAAAAAGAAAGAGTTTTTACAATAAAAATTACCTGTTTTGAGGATGCTCATTATTTTTCATCTGCACTAGAGTTACCCTTTGTGCATTTGTTGGGAATAAGTTCTGAGCATGAGCAGAATCAGAAGTAACTGAAGCTCATGAGATAGAGGAACAGTATTCCTCTACTCTTCCTTTTGATTTCATTATGGTACTTCTGGCAGAGCGGATAGAGTGTTCTTGAAAATCTCCTGAGTTAAACTCTTCAAAATCAAAACTAGCAGGTCCATTGAGCAGTTGGGTTTTCTCAACAGAAGATTTATGATGAATTGAGAAGGAAGGATCTTTAGAAATTTCATCTATTCCTTCCATATGTGCAGTAAAGTCTAAAGATTCCGTAATTGCTATATTGGTTTCATCCTTCTCAGTGATTTTAGAAAGCGGACTTGCACTCTTTCGTCTAATTGGACCATGAGGAATCGGTGGTTTCATACTATTCACGTTGATCTTTACAGAACTTTTATTTTCAGTAGGAACCTTTAATTTGATCGACTTTAAAGGGTACGACTTCTTCTTCATTTCTTGCTTATCTTCTTCTTCCTTAATTTTGTTGAAAGAATCCAAGAGATTGATGGCTCTTGAATCAGAATGACTATCTTTCTCTTCTTTTTCGTAATTCCCTAAATAATTTTCATCAACTTCGATCTCTTCTATTTCTCCAGAAATCTCAGCTGCTCCAGGAAGAATGTTGATTTCTTCTCAGTCATCAAATCTCAGGAATTGAGTGGTATCTTCAAATCCCTTTGCATTGGTTGGTGAATATAGTCTTCCTCTTTTACTTCTGACTCTTCTCATTTGTTTCTCTAATTCTGAATTATTTTGTACTTACTTCAACTCTCCAACACTTTAGACACAAAAGGCTTGATCTTTCTCTCCAAAGACCTTAATTTTCTTTTCTTATTCGGCTGAAAAGTACATTCCTTCTGTTTCTCCTGATCAAAATTCTTTTTCAACTTCTGAATATTTTTATTTCTAAAATAAACCAATTGGATTACCTTTGCTTCTGCCAGTCAAGGTTCTTCTGGAAGAATTGGCTGAAATCCTTCGTGCTCCTTTTACAAGACACTATGGGTCTAAGCTAGGTACTTACACGAGTCTCTACCGATAGAGCTTCCTCTTTTAACAGAGGCTTTGGAACTATGAAGTTTTTGACTCTTATGCTGATCTCTCTTGATTTGGTATAAAGTTCTCTTCTCCTAAACTATTCTACACAAGTATACCTTGGCACGATGAGACCTCCTCTCTTGAAGTGATAGGATCCTAGGTCTGTATCGACGTTCCTGGACTGAAGAGTTTTGAAGAGAAGATCTTGATTTTAAAGTTCCTTTAGGCTTCACTATTCCCTTAGCATTCTTGGTTATATGATCAAATTGATTAAATCCTAGAACTATAAAAATTAAATTACTATCTTTTCGTTTGTCTAAATATTTCTTAAACTTTTTGTTAAACTTTGGAGTGGGCTCATCAGGAGATAAACTTCTGCTAGCTTTATCTCTTATCCTATCATAAGTGGTTGAGTATACCACTTTATTTCTTGTTACGACTGGATTTAGACTGGAAACTTACTTCCGAACACCTTGAGATCTACCACTCAATTTTTCAACATCAAAGATTGAAGAATTCTGCTGCATTGATGGTTCTGTTATTGGCCCAAATGAAGGAGGCTGAGTGATTTTATTTTTACCATGACTGCGCTGACTACAGGAATCATACACATGAGGAGGTATTTTTCTACTTTCTTCTACAGACTCTCTACTTATTTCTTTACTATCAAATACAAGTGTATTGATAATATCCTCGCATTTCTGCTTGATAATATCATCTTTATAATTTTTGACTCTACAAGGCTCAAAAGTTCTCTGAGAGTTTTGGAAATGTCCTGTGCCTCTTCTCTTTGTAATTTTCTTAACCTTAATAGACTTTTGAATTTGATTTAAAGCTTCGACGCAAGCATTATAATTAATCCCTCTTTTCAGAGCTTCAGATTTAGTTATTCTTAATGGTTTTCCCTCTTGTCTGAATGCTCTCAATATGCTGTGCCCCAATAAGGTCTGGATTGAGCCGACTCTTCTGGCCATAGCCAACCTATATTCCAAATATTCCTCATCCAAACTACTCCAAATCCTAACCTCAATGCTTACGTACCTTCTGTGTCTGTACGAATCGAGTCTTGGCTTGGTCCTTCCCTTCAGAGGAAGGAGTGGCTCCTTCCTCGTTGGAAGCCCTGACCCTGACTTCTCTCGAAGAAGCACTGTCCATTTCGTAATTAAAAGGAACTACAGGTGTTAAGATTTTCTTACGGTTGTTTTCTTTGCCATTGGATCTTTCAAATTCTCTTTTCTTAACCATATAGTACATCTGACACACCTTTTGTCTTTGCCTTGAATTCTTAAGCTGATCAATCAGATGATTGTCTGCAGCCATGCTCATATTTATGATTTAAATTATTTGTAAAGAGAAAGGGGTTTTGGGGTTTTGGGGTTTTGGGGG